CAAGTTATGAAGTTCCTCATTATGCAGTTTTCTCCAACCTCCTGTCACTTCATCTCTCTCCGGTCCAAATATTCTCCTCAACACCCTGTTCTCAAACACCCTCAGTCTGTGTTCCTCCCTTAATGTCAGAGACCAAGTTTCACACCCATACAGAACCAGAGGTAAAATGAATAGTTTTGCATAGTCTAATTTTTATGTAATCCTTTTATTATTTTTCTTTTTGCAAAATAAAGAAAAAGGGCTAGAAATTTTCTCTTCGTCCTACTGTAGAATGGTACTTTCGCAATTATTAAAATGAATTATTAAAGTGTATACATTTTTCTCGCCGCTTTGTCGTGAGGTGTGATTGCCCTCAGTTTTATTGTTTTCTAAATGACACAAGTTCCTTTTTCCCTCTCTCTTTGTATGTGTGTGTTTTGTGTCATTGCTCCTGCATACTTTACAGTTGGCTACTGGATGTTTAATAAGCACGTAATTGGATAAGCGAAAAAATAAATTGTTCCCTGTGCTTAATTAATTAAACGCCACTCTGTGAGCAGGTATTCACAAGTGTAGGTATAGCTGTACCACTCTTTACTTCGGCACTATTTGCTGATGAGTGGTCAGATTCACGCCCCGGCCGCTTTATCCCCTATAGGAGGCTGGGTGGGCCCCAATTCCGGTCTCAACATTGCCGAGAATCGAACCGCAGCAGTCCAGCGACTTAATCCGGTATGTTTGCTGAGGTTTCGGAGGAACGTACTGTCTCCATCATCAGGGCCGAAAAGTAAGCCACTTAACTAACAGGAAACAAGCTGAAAATTCGTAAAAGATTTGAGGGTTTTCACGGCGGTCTTCTGGGATGTGGCGCCGTGTAAATCTTGTGTGAACCGACGTTTCGGAAGGACGTATCGCCTCCATCTTCAGGGTAGAAAAATCTTCGAGCGAGGAAACAGCTTGAGCAGGTGGTAGATCTTGTGTGAATCGACGTTTCAGAGGGTAGAAAAATCCCCGAGCTAGGAACCAGCTTGAGCAGCTGCGGATTTTTCTACCCTGTAGATGGAGGCGATACGTCCCTCCGAAATGAGGGTTCACACAAGATATACACGGCGCCACATCCCAGAATACGGCATTCTTCAAGCAGGAAATTCGTTTGACTCACTCTGCGATCCTGAACACAGCCACAGAAACAGAAAGTGCTGTGTGCTCTTATAGCAATCTTCAGCAGGTTCCTGACCATCTCTGTTACGTAACCGAACCGACAATTTGGTTTTGTTCGCTGCCAATTTAATTGACAAAGAGAATGGATTTGCTTGCTCTCTGAGTGGGTTTCCCTTTTGGAGGACATTGATTACGTCACAGTGACTGAGATCACTTGGGGGACACAGACGCAGCTGCGCCCGGACTTTCTCTTCGGCTTTCTGCATCGCGTCTCAGCTCTGCACGCTTTCATATGCTGCCAGTCATGTCTTGTTGAATCAGTTCAACAGATTTGTCTTGAATCTGTAGCGACGAGATATAACACCGTCAGATGTACAAATGTGCGCCTCTCAGAATTGTCATGTTCCAGTGTCGGTTCGTATGCAACAAAACCGTTGAATGGATTTTAATAAAGAAACAAACTCCGTTGCCTGTAGTCCGCAAGCAAACTATACCGACCGAGCGACCGTCGCTTGCCGGTGAAGTTAGTGCCAACTTTAGGGGATAGAGGGTGTCGCGTGGTCAGCGCAACGGATCCCCCACAGCCGTTAATTTCGGTTTTCTAGACCGGAGCCGCTATTTCCTTGAAATAACTCCACAGATATCCTCACGAGGCTGAGTGGACCCCTTTCCAGACCAACTACTTCTCAGAAAATCTGGTAGCGTTTGGAATCGAACCCGGAACCTCTGGGTCTGTAACCAGGAACTCTGGCCACTAGACTACAGAAGCGATCATGAAAGAGCATTAGAAGATGATATTCATGAATTGAAAATCTAAAAGATAAGTACCCCCCCCCAGATTATGAAGCCGTTTCTTTATCTTTCCCCTTTACTCATAGATCTCAACTGAAGCATTTATTATTCATATTCATGTGGGGGGGTTCGTCAGATTCATGCTCCGGCCGCTTTACATCCTGTGACAGAGCCCCCAATATCCGTTGGATAGAAGGCTGTGTGGAACTCAGATCCGGTCTGGACCCTGTGGAGAAGAGAAATATCTCTTACTCCTGCCAGGAATCGAACCCCGGCCTTCCTGCTCGTAATCGTTCACTATACCGACTGAGCGATCTCAGTTTTGGAGGTGTGTGCAGTACCAGATATAAGAGCCCTGTATTTCAAACGCACAGTAGAGCTGTAAATCAAAAGCTGTGTTCGGCGGTAGACCTTGATTTAGTTGCGCTAGTCCCACCTGCGGATGGCCTGCGTTTTGTTGTGCAGAAATCGATTGTAATGGCGCAGGAAACACACACCTTGCAGTCTCAACCAAATGGATGGAGCTTCTAGTACTTACTGCATTGCGTAAGGGCCGCGCCATAGCTCAAGCGGTTAGTCGCTGGCTTCCCACCGCGGCGGCCCGGGTTCGATCCCGGGTCTGGTCAAGTGGGATTTGCGGTAGACAAAGTGGCGCTGGAGCAGGTTTTCTCCGAGTACTTCGGTTTCCCCTGCCAATCTTCATTCCGCCAATTGCTCCACAATCACCCTCACCTATCATCTGGGGCTGGTACAATAGGCCAGAAGTGGCCGCAGTACAAGGGACTTGGTCCCACCCCACTAGCATTAAAAAAGTATTGAATTGCGTACCATACCAACATTTGAATACACAGGTGAACTTCATAAGTACGTACCCAGGACTGGTCGATATCTCGAAATGTGTGTTATTTATCGACTCTAATTTCCATCGAAAAATCGGTAATCTAGTTAACTTCAATGTTATTCATTTTGTATGTTTACGGAGCCTATCCTTTTAGAGTAAATATTTTATTAAGACTAAAATATCCCATGGGGGGCAGGCGGTAACGTAGTTGGTTGAGACACTATGCTGCAAGCCGGAAGGTCGCGGGTTCAAGTCCCAATGAGGTCATTGGATTTCTTTCAATTCACTTAATCGTTCCAGCCGCACTATGGCCCTGGGGTCGACTCAGCCCCTAACAGAAATGAGTACCAAGAATATTTTGGGGGGTAAAGGGCGGCCGGCGCGTACGCCTGACATCCTCACCGCCACATATGAGCCGATTGTCTAGAAAATGTGGGAACCTCAACGTCTCACAACCCTATGGGCCTTCACGGCCTGTTACAGGGACAGCTTTACTTAACCTCACCGCCATCTGTGAGCCGATTGTCTAGAAAATGTGGGAGCCTCAACATCTCACAACCCTATGGGCCTCCACGTCCTGTTAAGTGATAGCTTTACTTTTTTTAATATCCCATGGGCTGTAACATAGTGTAGGACAATAAAAATTCACAGACGTTTCGGAGACACGAACTACCTCAATCTTCAGTGTTGGATAGTAAATGAAGCAAAAAATCAACCGAGAAGAACTCGAGACGTAATTCTGTGGATCTCGAGCTGAAATTCGGAGGAAAATAATGCCTCCATCTTCAGGAAGAACGCTTTATTCCGACCTTCTTCTTGTATGTTCCCCGTTGTTTGCAGTCCCTTACTGTTTTTCGTTTGTTTTCCCTTCGTTCGGTTTACGAATCTCCTGTAAACGTGTGTCTGGCGTTTCCCTTACACGTCATCATGTGTGGGACCATTGAATTAACTGCTCAGTATATAGAAACGTTTTCCAATTATTTCTGTGCATATATATATATATATATATATATATATATATATATATATATATATATGTATATATATATATGTATCGCAGTAACATTCTATTCTCTATTGTTTTCACAGTGCTGCTGTTTTGCGTTTCTCTGTTTCATTTCCTGCCTGCCGATTCCACCAAATTAATTAAGTGTACTTTTCCACTCTTCGCTTATTTCCGACTCTGCGTTGAAAGGCCCTGTTCCGCAGGGGGGGGGAGACGTATTGTAACTCGACTGCTACATTCACGATATAAGCAATCGATATGTGTAATTCGTTTCGAGTCGATATGAAAAGAAAGAAGATGTCCTTGTAAATATGGAATGCTATGACGTCGCGCTATAAACGTCCTCTGATAATACACGTATTTTACTGGTGGACTAGACAGAACGTTAGATAATGGATAGCTTAGTCACTATGGGCTGGACAACAAGGGTTAAATTCTCTATCCGAGTTTAGTGCCTCTCTTCATGAACACGTCTAGGTTGGCGCCACACGAGCGCACAAAATGCGTCCGTTGTAACGAACGTCGTGACGTCCGTTGTACAAATAAACAAGAGAGGCGAATGCTACGCTCTGTTGCAGACAAAAAACTACGCACCGCATTCTGCAACTGTGTGGTGTCCTCAGCAACGTCCGTCATAAAGTACGTTCTTTGCAACGGACGTACTTCTTGCGCTCGTGTGGTCCCAGCCTAAACGGTTGTAGGGTCCATTTAACGTGGTGTCTCATATGTACAAGAAAGGTTAAGGTAAAGACAGTGATGTGGCGGTCTAAGGCATGAACTGTCTTCGCTCGCTCGAAATCCGGGATCGTGGGGTCGGATCTGTTTCCTGTGAGGTACGGACTGAATTCTTATATATTATTCTTATACACTGCCGGTCACAGTAGCCGCGCGGTCTAAGGCATGAACTGTCTTCGCTCGCTCGGAAGCCGGGATTATGGGTTCGATTTCCACACAAGGCATGAATATTTGGTATGTGTTTGTGTTGTCCTGTGTTTATGTAGAGGCATTGCCACGAGGTGATCACTCGTCTAAAGAGTCCTGCCGTCTGTAAAATGATCATGAAACTGAAAAAATTAGAGGCCGGGGCCCCAAGGGGGCTGTAGAGCTAGTAAGCCGGAAGGTCGCGGGTTCGATTCTTTATGAAGTCATTTAATTTTGATTATTTATATTAATATATAATAACTATTTTTCATGTAATATATTTATTTTACTTTGTTTCAGGCCGTTTTAATGCTACTGCCAAGGAGGTACCGGCCTGTTTTTGAAAGAAGGTAAGTGTATTAACACTCTTATTTAATTTAGTCTCTGACGCGGTTGAGAGCTTATGATGACGAAATGCTAAGGCGACTGTTTGGACTGAAGAGAGAAGCAACAAAGAACCATAGAATTTAGTACTCTTAAGGTTACGGTCTTCTGGAATGTGATATTATAATTTGGTATATGAATGCAAACGATTCGAAGGAGCTTTCTGCCTCGATCTTCAGGACAACAGAATGAAGGTGGGGAAGTAAAGGGTTCCGCGAAATGTAGAAGAATGTTTGCTGAAACAGAGTTTGTAGGAATGAGCAGCGCTGCAGACGGAAGCTGTAGTAAGCAAGGCTGTCACACTTTCGGGTTGGATGACGTGTACAGTTGCGTTGCTGATTGTGCACTGATGCAACAAGAATATAGGTTAATGCGTTTCTGCGAATGGGGCACATTTCATGGGTCTCCTGATCCCAGAAATGGACTCGACAGGCGTCTGGAAGGTTACTGTGACCGTGACTAGGTAAAAGGTAAAGCTATCCTTGTAACAGGCTGTGGAGGCCCATAGGAATATGAGACGCCGAGGCTCCCACATTTTCTAGACAATCGGCTCACAGATGGCGGTGACGTCGTCAGCCTTACGCGTTGCCCGCTCCTTAACCCCAGGAAGATTCCTGGTACTCATTTCTGTTACAGGCTGAGTCGACCTCACGGCCATAATTCAGCTGGAATTATTAAGTCAACTGAAAAATCCAATGATCTGATCGGGATTCGAACCCGCGACCTTCCGGTCTGTAGCATAGTGCCTCAACTATATGCGTGACCCCGTAACCATAACTAGAGAAGTTTTTTTTAGCCTAATTCCCGTATTTAAAAATAATAAAAGAGGCTTACGAGGTCACGTTGCTGTCTGTGTATAGATCCACATTTTCTTGACCTCTGCACTAGCTTGAAGTGAATGGTCAGTTTCACGTCCCGGCCGCTTCACCCCCGGTACGCATCGGATAGGAGGTTAGGTGGGCCCCAGAACCGGCGTGGACGACATGGAGAAAATTCTTTGACCCTACCGGGACTCGAACTCCGACCCCTCAGTCGTTCAGCCCGTAGCTAGGCGCTAGGCTACCCCGGCTCCCAGCGTTTGTGGTGTTCTTATATGCTGTGGCCTCATGTAGCACGTATGTCCAACTGTGTTTGTGCGTTTATTGGTGTGACGAGCCTGCTCTAGGTACGTGCCTGGCCGGACCCACCGTGATGTTCCTTCAGCTATTAAAATATCAAGGTCAGATTGAAGCCGTTGTAGAATATGAAATGACGCCGATAGAAGAGAACAAACAGTCGTGATTTTATAGGGCGTCGGTCTCGGGGTCGGGGGGGGGGTCAGACTCTGCTGGCACTGTCAGCCCACATGTTGCGTACATCCGTGTACTGCTTCCCAAATTAACAGGACTGGTTCTAGTGCCCGGTTTCGAAACGCTTGTTAACGGAATGTTAACGGCCCAGAAGAATGATGGAGCTATAACTCCACTCCCGCGTATGTCTTCATTGCACAGTGCATTATTCAACAGGCCAGAAGGTCGTGGGTTCGATTCCCAATGAGGTAATTTGGCTTTTCAGTTGATTTAATCCTTCAGACGTACTATGGCCCTGGATTCGACTCAGCCTCTAACAGAAATGAGTACCAGGAATGTTCCTGGGGTTAAAGCGCGGCCGGCTCATAAGGCTGACAACCTCACCGCCATCTGTGAGCTGATTGTCTAGATAATGTGGTTCGCTGTTTTACCCTACAACAGACATCCAGTGCGCTAAAGCTTGCGAAGAAGGGCCCCATGTGACAACTCAGATCATTCCTAGGTAAGGGTGTATACCGTAAGGTTCAAAAAACGGCACATTTCCATTTCCCCATAAAAATCGGAACATTTGGTAAAAAAGGAAACAATAAAAAATTAATAAAAACAAAAATCAATAATACGTTATGATTTAAACACAGAAATTTAAACATACAAAATTGAGCTCAAAATTATTAATTTAGAAACACGGAACATAAAATTCATACAAAATTAAAATTTAAGTCTTAATCTGCAAAATCCTTCCCAGATTCACCTAAATATTTATCGGATTTGTGAACCTGCTCCAGAAACACTTTTTCTGTCGATATTTAGGAAAAGAACTCTGAAATTGTGTTTTGTGGATTAGCCACCAGGAGTGTCAACATCGTTTTAGGAATGCCAATTGCAGAGAATAACATCCGTTACCAAACGGTACAAATTAATGTTACAGAAGAACACTTAAAAAGCGGGACATTTGAAATAAATCCAGGACAGCGGGACATTATATGAAAAAAAAGGGGGGGAGACTGTCCCGGGGAAAATATACCCCCTCAAGATGGCCTAGAAATAGGGTAAAACATGTGGTGGTTAAGGAATAAACACTGTTGACACTACATAGTTGTGTTGGTGGTATTGTAAGAGTTGTGATGAGAGGCGGACGGGGCTAGACACCAAGACGAACTGCCTTACTGACCCACAGTCGCAGCTTGAGTTCTGTTTCTAACGGTTACCTATCTCCCGTATCATCTCCGTCCTCCATAGCAGAAACAAAGCGAGTTAACTGTACACAAAGTGGGGAGTTTTTTTTACGAAATTTCCCATGGTCCATTTTTTATAGTCCATTTTTTTTATCGTTTCTTGGTTTGCGAAACGGGACTCTTTTGGAAAGGTCAACTGAAGGAATTTTTTGATTCGAAGTTCGTTCTGTCACTGCAAGCTATTCTGCTGACTAGCTAAAGTAATGGTGGCAAAAGTACCTCGGAGCTTTCTTCTTTTGTTTTTCGTTAGACCTTTATTTAGTGCTAAAACTTTTTCGGATATAGGGTGTCGCATGGTTAGCGCAACGGATCCCCAAGGCCGTTAATCTCGGTTTTCTAGACCGGAGCCGCTATTTCCTTGAAATAGCTCCTCAGTTATCCTCATGACGCTGAGTGGACCCCGTTCCAGACCCACTGCTTCTCAGAAAGAAGTCTGGTAGCGCCGAGAATCGAATCCGGACCTCTGTATCTGTAGCCAGGAACGCTGACCACTAGAACACATGGCACTAAACTTCGCTGACAAGCGGCGGTCGTTCGGTCGGTATAGTTCGCTTGCGGACTAAAATCACGGAGTTTGTTTGTTTGTTTGTTTGTTTGTTGTAGTCCTTTATTTATTCTTCTTCGTTTGGTGTTTTTCTTTCCCCCTTTTCTCGTTATTTTGCTTTAATTCTTTCATTAGTTTTTTCTTTATTTCTTAGTCTAGTTATTATTTTCCCTTCTGCTTTGCTTCCTCCTTTTCCTCTTTAAATCTGTGCCTCTTCTTGCATGTCACAGCCCGGTGAAGATAAAAGCTAATTTGAAATAAATTTTAACCACCCTGTGACAAATGATTAATAATGAGACTCATTCCATGGAACATATACAGATAATCACATATGAAGGTTATGTAAATGTATAAGGTGATGCTGATGCTTAATGAAACACCACCAAATAAAGACGTATGGGTGTATCGAGGTATAACTCCATGCATTCTCTAGCTGGAGATGAGTGGCACACTTCACGCTTCGAATTATTTTACAACCAGGGGAGCAACCCAAGCCACTTGTTTTACTAGCGAGGGGATTACGATTTGTTTTACGATGCATTAAATGCTTAAACTACGAAACGTCGGATGATAAGAATATTTATAAATAATGAATTTTCTGAGGGGCTTAGAAGGAATTGATTGTTGGCCTAATCTACATACTATGGGCGTATTTGCTCTATGCAGGAACTGTTGATCCACAGAGACCTCGGGGCACACGCGCAACGGGAGAGTTACTGATTGTATCGGTGCGTTGCTAGGCGACAACTCTGTGAACGCTTGGATTGCGCAACAGGAAGTGCGAGTGACGTCACATATGCCCGCTCATCCCGTCACTACTCAACGCTCGGTGAACACCCCTCCCCTCTAGGCTGTGATGCCACGCAACAGTGGAGTCCGTGCAGCGACCGTTGCTAGGCAGTCGGCCGGTAATCACGAACAATTAGGTTGTTTTCTGTGTGGTCCGCGAGAGGCCTATGTAAGGGGATTCAATGCACCAGGCATTGTAGCCGCCGAAGACAGTTGAAGTCTGGAAGTGACCATAGTAGAAGAAGTAATTTGGACAGTGAAATTGTGAATTGTGTAAATGCTCAATTTGGACTAAAAGGTAGGAATCTGTTTATTGGGACTGGAAGTTTGGCATATTTTATATGTAGCCTACGTATATATATATATANGATAAATTTGCCTTACATTTACACCTTCAGCCTTAAAAATGGAGTCACTGCACGTTATTCCTCGTTGGTGCATGTGGTAACCTGTCGGCCATTTTGACGCCACTAGTGGTGAAAGACAACTGAGTGGCGGAGGTTAAACAAGTCATGGCAAGTCCCACGCTTACGGTTGCGTGCGCATTCAGCAGTGGGGCCAATCGCAAAACGAAAATACATTAAAATTTTGCGCGTAATCTTTCTTCTGTCCCCTTTATAATACACATACATTTATGAGAAATTTCACACACAACTTAACAGACAAAGAACTTTATGGCTGTATCATTAGATTCAATAATAACAATTTTTAATTGCTATATCACACTTTAAATCACCGTCATTTGTTGGGAGGTCTCAAACTCGACTAGGGAAATCAAGAAAGACCGTCTTATTGCAACAGTTCTGGAATCCCTGGTTTGGCGTGTTTGTAATGATTTTGTTACTGATACTGGGAATTATGGGGAAAATACAGATCTTTATTTTAAAATACGAATAGGAATGTATTTGAGGAGCCGGAATAGCGCAGTCGGTTATAGCGACTGGCTACGGGCTGGACGACCGAGGTATCGGAGTTCGAGTCCCGGTAGGGTCAAGAATTTTCTCCTCTCCACATCATCCAGACCGGCTCTAGGGTCCACCCAGCCTCCTATCGTATGGATACCTGGGGCACTTCCCCGGGGGTAAAGCGGCAGGGGCGTGAAGCTGACT